ATCGATTCTTCCGGTTCGCCTCCTAGCATCGTGCTATAAGGTACCAGGCGATAACCAGGGTAGTTGATCGATAGCTCGATGACGTCATTTCGTTGGCGTCTGCAATGGGAAATTCTCATAGCAGGCGTTGACGATGGGACGTTGTCGAGTTGTTGAATAGCAACTTTTGTGGTAACTCACCGATTACCTGTCGATCTGCCAAATTTGGAAAGACGTCTGCATTGAATTGTCTCATATAATAATATTCCGCCCACTATATCACAAGAAATTGCGAGTAGCTGAGTGGAATGGAGATAAGTTAAGCATTGGGTACAGGACCAAGTCTCCCCTGGGTGGTGCCAAAAGATGAGCGCAATAGAATCATCAAGTTGCCATAAGGCACGGAATGAGACTATTGCATGGCTGGGTAGTCAAAGTCTTCCATTCCTTAGTCATTTCAGGTGGATTAGAACAGGTTTAGGTTTAGGGTGGGCGTTGGCCAGATTTGGATCTTTCAGATGTAATCCTGGATAGGACCCTGTCATTGAACGTCGCGTGAAAGTGGAACTTAATGAAGGCCTAAGTACTTTTTCGTAGTTTTTAGTTTTCGGATTTGAAAGATCGTCGGTTACAGTGGCCTGCTTACTGAGCAGAAAAACGCGGTCCCAGGTCCTTACGTATCAAAGAAATTTATGGTAAAATCGCTTGTGTATCGTGTATTTTGCGAAACTCGTTGTTGTCGTTGGTTCCGGGTTTGAATGGATACACAAATTTGAGCAACGGTATTATGTGATATGAGGGACTCGGTGGCCTTAGAGCAACGGTTTTTGCTTACTGAGCAGAACATTATGAGTCTAATTTCAGGCCCATCCACATTCAAGATTCGTCAATCGTTTTATTTGTTAATATGACTACATGGTAATAACAGCAACTTGGTGATTAAAAAGGTGCTCGTATGCCTAGTGGCAAACGGTTTTGCTTACTGAGCAGAAGACCGTGGGTTTAGTCCCAAGCTCCATCGCGTTATATGATCGTTAAGACATCAATTCAGCTTATCGTTTACCAAAACGAACCCTGCTGCAAACCCAACCCTCTTATCCAACATCCCAGTGATTCCTCGTGGAAGTGCAGCGGTGTTCTCGGCTTCCATCAAAGCGAGTGTCATGTCAACACAATCCTTCCCATTCCTTTCTTGATCTGTGTTCGGGCGCGGCTGGCGCTGGTATTGCCTAATTTAAGATCACCAGTTTTTACACATTGAGGATGATTGCTAGTCCCAAGCATCGTCTATTGGTTCTCTGTGTAATTACAGCTGATCTGGCAGTAACAGAGTAGCAACCGTGGGCGGTCAATCAAGCTCAAGCTCAAGCTCAAGCTCCAGTCTTTAGTCGAAAGGGTTGACAGAACACGATATAAAAAATATAAAAAATCATTGCATCATCTGCAAGGTCAACTTATATCATTCGCGGTAGTATTCGCTGAGGAGGATGATAGTAAATGAAACTAACATTCAATGTAATACATTTTTGGATTGCAGGCAGGAAATTATCCGCCATAAAATGTTTTTCAAAATTCCCATGAAACTCTCTTATTGATGCTCTAAAACTTACCACCGGAAAATACTGTGCTTGTTTGTAAGATATAATCATAATTTTCTTCTATATTAGATTTCTATGTATTATTATATTGTTTTCCCTCTTTGTAACATTGAACCTTTTGTCCACATTTGAACCATTTGACCTTTTGTCTTCATTGTAATTATTCGACCTTTTGTCCATTCGAAGTTTTGTTCGTTCGATCTTTTGTCCATTCGAATTTTTGTCCCTTCGACCATTTATCCTTCTTCTTATCATTTGACCAAAGGGTAAGACAGCTTTACTCTGAGTTGCATTTTTGCAGCGAGTAACTCGTGAGTAACTCAATGTACCTCAAAATCAAATCGACGTGCATCGATTTTTTGCCTCTTTACCTATTGGCTTACTCCGTTTACCCCGTTCACATAATAGGCGTCAGTCTTGCTAGTAAACAAAATAAAATTGTTCAGACCGGCTATTGAAATGATGTGAATTCCGGATTTTGTTTAGAAAACGGCTTCACCGAGGAGAACGAGAAATCCTTGCAGGCAATCACCGGCATATAAAGGGTGATACGGTCAAAATTTGGTTAATATCAACTTGACGTATTTCTTTCAATTTTGCATTTAAAAAAAACCTGAACACCCCTCATTTTAAAGGTGTGTGTGTGTAGAATGTTGCTCCTATTTTGATTTTGGAATTCACTCTTCAGTTGTCAAAATGCCGTCCAAGCAAGAAGAGCAGCGTATCAAAATTTTGCTTTCCGAGCTACTCGCACGCAAAGTTGGCAAAATCGCTAAAAGTTGCCAAATCAACCGTTACAAATGTAATTAAAGTGTTTGGGGAACGTTTGTCGACAGCCAGGAAGTCTGGATCGGGGGGAAATCGAAAACCGGAAGCCGCTGAGACGACAAAGAGAGTTGCCGGTAGTTTCAAGTGAAACCCTAACCTCTCTCTCCGAGATGCCGCAAATAAGCTGGGTGTATCGTCTACAACCGTGCATCGAGCCAAAAAACGAGCCGGACTATCGACTTACAAGAAGGTAGTGACTCCAAATCGCGATGATAAACAAAATACGACGGCCAAAGCGCGATCCCGGAGGCTGTTCACGACGATGCTGACGAAGTTTGACTGCGTGGTAATGGACGACGAAACCTACGTCAAAGCCGACTACAAGCAGCTTCCGGGACAGGAGTTTTATACGGCAAAAGGAAGGGGAAAGGTAGCAGATGTTTTCAAGCACATGAAACTGTCAAAGTTCGCAAAGAAATATCTGGTTTGGCAAGCCATCTGTACCTGTGGCTTGAAAAGCAGCATTTTCATAGCTTCCGGGACTGTCAACCAAGAAATTTACGTGAAAGAGTGTTTGAATAAACGTCTGCTGCCTTTCCTGAAGAAACACGGTTGTTCCGTACTGTTTTGGCCGGATTTGGCATCTTGCCATTACGGTAAAAAGGCCATGGAGTGGTACGCCGCCAACAACGTGCAGGTGGTTCCCAAGGACAAGAACCCTCCCAACACGCCAGAGCTCCGCCCAATTGAGAAATACTGGGCTATTGTCAAGCGGAACCTAAAGAAGACCAAAAAAACTGCTAAGGGCGAGCAGCAGTTCAAGGCAAACTGGCTTTCTGCGGCGAAGAAGGTGGACAAGGTGGCTGTACAAAATCTGATGGCAGGGGTCAAGCGTAAGGCCCGGCAATTCGGATTTGGAAAAGCGGAAGCCTAACTGAATATTTTTCCTGAATTTTATACTAATTGAACTTGAAAAAGAAATTTAATTTGATTTTTTAAATAAACGATTTCACCGATTTACACGCGTTTTCCCTTGACCAAATTTTGACCGTATCACCCTTTAACTGAAGAACGGAACATGCTCCGAATATAATAAATAATAGTTAAAGGAATAACAAATAAACAACAAAACAATTTTTATCCTTCTCGATGAAATATCTTTAAAGTAGTTATGGTAATCTTCATCAAACACTTCCGTCGACGGCTGCAGAAGAAACCAGGTGGTGTATCGCAGAAAGCGGACCACGTCACAATCATTCAGAAAGCACAGCAGTAGTACCAGAAGTGTGAGGATGTCCGCTCGCAGCAGAACGGCGCCATGGGAATTCAGTGGTTGGTTCGTAGTTTCATCTAGCGGCAGATTGTTGAGCAATGGAAATGGGATCGCTTCGACGAGTATCAGAGGACGTGTAGGGTACGTATAATTTGCCGGATCTGGAGTATTTGGTCAACGAGTTATTCTACCAAATCGAGCCGGATGTTTCCTTTTTGTTTTTGTTTTGCTTGACAGCAGCTTTTCGGCTTCGCACCTCCACATGTTGCTGTGATGCGAAAAGTGAGAAAGCAAATGACAGTGATCTTGCTCACTGAGCAACGTGAATTACTCGAGATGCCTCAAAAGCAACTCTGAAATTGCTCATGATTAGGAGCTGTCTTACCCCTTGCATTTGACCTTTTGTCCCCCTTCGCACTATTCTGCCGTTTGACCCCGTTCTTATAATTCGACCTTTTGTCCATTCGACGTTTTATCCCTCTTATGATCTTTCAACCTTTTATCCATTCGATCTTTTTTCATTCGATCTTTTGTCCATTCGATCTTTTATCCATTCGACCTTTTGTCCCTTTTTGAGCCATGCGACCATTTGTCCTCTTTCTCATCATTCGTCCTTTGGTCCCCCTTTGCATCACTCGACCTTTTGACACCGTTCTTATAATTCGACCTTTTATCAATTCGACCTTTCGTAAGTTTGAACTTTTGTACATTCGACCATTAGTGACGCAATCTGCGTTGGTTCGGGACCGGTCTATTTTGGATATATTATTTTTATCGAGATAAAAGAAGCGTAATTATAGAACTATTCCACAAATGGTTTGGATGATATCCACCGACCAACCGACATGAATGAACATACAAATTACAAATAAATTTCTGATCAAAGATCAAAACTGACATCTGCCGCCGTGTTCGCGGAAAACATTTATCCTAACCACGAACACGCCTACAAAATGTATGAGTTGGTTCGTGTCTAATCTATTTCGGACAAAGTATGTTATCTAGATAAAACATTTCTATGGTTTTGACAGATAGTATCGCTGCACATTTGAATCGGCCGTTATGGATTCTCGATCAAGAATTAAGTTTAAGTTTCATGTCGGTTTGTCGGTGATAAAACCATAAATTCAAGTCTGAAGCATTGTTGGAGTCCGATTAAGAAAGTTTACACAATACGACATACCTTTTTGGCAAACTGGATCTATTATTTAATTGCATTGAGATATTTGTGCATCAAGCTTTTGTTAAATTTTCATTCTGTTCAATAAGGCTTCAAAACACAGTTGAATGTCAACAGTATTTAAATAAGCATAAACAAATATATTCGATGATATCTGTTTTCGTAACTTTTTTTTCAATACTTCTTATTCCTCCCATTGCAGACGAGGAGGACTTGTTTATGGTTTGTGACCTGCTGGCCGGAGGCGATTTGCGGTATCACTTAAACCATCAGGTAAGTTTAAATGCATCCAAACATAACAGAAGCTAGTGAAGTTTCAGCATATGAACGCTACAGGAGTTGATTGGATTCCATCTCTCTTTCTCTCATTAATTGTTGCACCCGGAATATATGAATCCCGGCTTTGATCACACAGGTGGAATTTTCGGAAGCCAGCGTTGCCTTACTGGTGTGTGAAATCGGCTCCGCACTGGACTACTTGCAGAAGCACCGAGTAGTGCATAGGTGAGTAGGCATTTAAGCACAAACATTTCAAAATGGGCAGAACTGCTTTTGGAAAATAATTGTCTTGAGTTGTCGATCTTATTCTATATGCTAAGCAGCCTATTGACTTCTTGCCGCAAGATATCACGAATCAGCCTTGCTAGTGTAGTCGTGTAAAATCTATTTGTTTATTATTTTCAACCATGCAATCAAAGTGTTCGACTTTATTTTCAATCAGTAAAACGCATGTATTAGTGAAATTGAACACTAATACTAACGGTGGTGGAGAAGTCTATGAACTGATTGCACCGAGTATGTCAGTTAAGGCTGGCGCACAATGCATAAGTTTCCGGGGTTTTTGACAGATAATGTATGGACTAACTGTCAAAAAACCAGAAAAATTATCCATTATGGGCCGGCCTTTAGGAATGACACTTTATCAATACCGTGGACTCCCGTTAATCTGAACGCTTCGTTATGTATATTAACAGGGTTCATTTTTAATTGGAACTTCTAGTAACCCTCCTATGACTAGGGTTACCATATCAAAAACTTGAAAAGGAGGACATTTCATTTAAGGTTTGGAGATAAAGAAGGGCAAAGTTTCCTTTTCTTAACATTAAAAGAGGACAATGAGTTTTTATCAAACGTTTTAATAATATGTGCACTATGACTAAATTAATGAGTTTCAAAAGTTCAATTTAGATAGGTCATAACTTGTAGTCGTTATCAATTCAATTCATCTTCTCGTTATACTTCTGAAAAATGCATCAAACTAGCCTTCATAATTTATTTTTAAAGCTAGAAAATGATGTAGTCTAGCTGTTTTGCATGAAAACTACAGCTTTACAGCCTTAAAATCATCCCAACTTTTATCATGTACCGTAATAAGGATACATGTCATCGCTGATTGAAAGCAACATGAAAAAGTAACATCTAAGCAACCTGTTAGTTTTACCATTGATTCAGCATAGGACTCTAAACCTATACCTAAAATCCCATAGAACCAGAACGTCAAAATCGAACACATGTTGGATTCAATCTAAGACTGTGTTCCATTTGGTGAATTTTCACTTACATTTTAAAGATGGGAAATTTTCAAATAGTCTTGGTATTGCATCAGACTTCTTTCTGACAGGCAAGCAAACCATTTTGACAAACTCATTCTCGAAAATCAGCCAATCAACATGAGAGGGATTTTCAAACATTTTAATTTATCTTAGAGATTTCAACATTAGATGAAAATTCCCCAATTGGAACACAGTCTAAGGTTCTAACACCCCTATCAGGTAGAGGACATTTTCCCATATTTGATGGCAGTGTTAGCATGCGTGGGCGAGCTACCAGTTACGCCAAATCGACAATCAAATGAATTGTTTACAAAAGCTGATACGTCCCTTCGACAACGTAATCGAGATTTGTTGGATTTTCACTTAAATTTGGCACATCGAAAATAAATTATAATGTTAGAAATTCTCTCTGTTGTTGATCATCAGAATTTCGAGGAGTTGTTTGTCAAAATTGATCCCTGGTCTGTTAGAAACAAGTCTGGTTGAATAGCAGGTTTATTTTAAAATTTTCCATCCATCTGTCAAATTTAAATGAAAATTCACCAAATGAACCACAGCCTATATGTAGGGGGATTGACAGCTGTAGTATATTCCTGATACAAGGGGTTGGTCATTCCGTACAGTGTGCCAAAAATACAGACGGACACACCTGGGCACTTTCATTGGCACCCATGGTTAGACATTTTCATGATATTTAAAGTTACTGGCAACACTGTACTATATCTGCGTCTGCTCTGTGCATGTGTCAAAATGATAATCATTGTTGTTGACACAATCCACAATTTCCTCACAGCGGACATATTGTCAAAACATTAGGATGAGAGAGGTCATCAAGGCGATGACCTTTGCCAAGTACAACAGTAATCTGGGAGCCTTACGGAATTCTTCTGGATGGTGCTGGGGTCGCTACCGGAAGGCTTCGAGATCGGAGAACCTCCACTCAAGACGATCGAGCTGTTCGAGGATCTGGTGCGGAAGGCTTGGTTTTTCAGAACAGTTTGATCGACGTTGGGAAGGGAATGGCATCGTTCCGGAAGCTGATTGAAAAGATGTCCATGAAGGGACTGCTACTGGTCATAATGCAATAGGAGGACATTTTCGGGCAAAAGGAGGATGTAGAAAAATTGTTGAAAAAGGAGAACATGCCCTCCTTTAGGATACCATATGGTAACCCTACCTATGACCATCAGGAAGAGCGAGTTTCTGGTAGCTTAATTTGCTGTTTTGTTTTGATTCTGTGCTCCGTTTCGTATCGTTCCATTTCGCTTTGCACATGCTAAAACCATAGAGGTAAAGGCCGGCGCACCGAGGGGGACGACTCTATCTACGATGCAGAAAAGATTGTGTTTTGCTGTGGCTAGCTGCGCGCACGCTGAGTAGATAGAAAGAAGATTGATGACGATTCTGAAGATTTCCTGCAAAAAGATGATGCGCGATGCAAGTAGATGCGACAAATAAAAGAAGATTTTTCGAAGACTGATTCGCTAGTGTGAGATTTGTTGAGCATCTAAACTTGAGATTTAGATGTGTCGCCCCGCTCACGGCGCAAAATGGATAAGTTTTCTGGTTTTTTGACAGCAAGCCCATGCATTATCAGGTTCCGGGGGTCCATGGTACTAGTTGAGGGACTATTTTTTAAAACAACAAGAATTGACGTTGTTTGAACTCATGGCATGCAAATTCCTCAACCCTCAATATTGATGATATCGCGTCCTTGAAGATTAAACTTTCGTATGGATTGCTGTCAAAATGTCGTCAGCATCTGACATTTATTAATGTTTTCCGTGTTCATTTATGGTAAATATTTCATTGACAACCATAAATTGTCCTTTGTAGCTAAGCAGTCTTCTAGGCAAAAACAAAGAAAAGTTGAAGATTTTTATCGCTCCACGACGAATGACAACGACCTAAATTTGAGTTTAGTTCACTCATAATCGCCAAAAGTGCAGGAACTCAGTGATGAGTAAATTTTCCTCTTGGACTGAGTACATCCAATCTTTACTTTTCTCATATTCGGGAAGTTTTTCCTGAACAAACCTGGACCTAGACAAACATTAGGCATATTTACTCGCTGAACTCCTGCACTTTTTGATTTACGAGTTAACTAAACTCAAATTTGGGTCGTTCTCATTCACCGTGTGGACCCAATCTTTGGATACATAGGGTGGTATACAGGCTCTAAACTTATTACGATGAAAAGCAGCAAACAATATCGGTATCCAAAGCTCCTATTTATGGCAAACAATAACACTTTCGCTGTCGATGAGGCACGAATTTATTGACGGACAAATCACGACACGTATTCTTCAAAGAAACGGCATCGATCGTTCAAAACGCGAAGGGTAGAGAAAGAACAATAAAAGGCACAAAAATGTGGTGCTTGATGGAATAAGTCATCCTTTGCGACATGGCATCCTTGGATATGCTCCACGCGTTCCCTTGTTCTTTCATGATTGACAATAAATTCGGTCTACCCGGACTGCTGCGATGGCAACAATGTAAATATGTGTAGGTACTTCACGTGGGAAAAAGTCAAGTTGCGAAATTCTGAACCAGGCATTCTAAATATAACAGGCGCCATTGCATGTCACATAAAAGTATTAAATTACCCATTTTGCTCGACAGTACGACTCAGCTGTTTGAATATCAGTGCCAACATTTGAAAGGGGCGTAATTGCATTTGTAAACAATGGCTTTAGCTGTCAAATAAAAGCTCACTCATGAAAATTAATGACACCAACAGGCAGATGATTGTTTCCTCTACCATCTAGCATTGTTGTTTTCGAGAGGTGAGCTTTTAGTTGCGAGAAATCGACGGCAAAACAAGTTACGCCCCTTTGAAATGTTGGCGCTGATATATGTACCTTAACGCTGCTCCGACAACCTAACCTTACAGCAAATTTATTACCCAAGGCGACGGAGACGAAACCGGCATTAACCCTGTCTGCATTCGTCACCGACCGCCGCCATCGCAATGGAACATCGCACGCAACAAGGCTATAAAGATGCCATCATACCTATTTCCCGTCGTCGTCCGACATTCGTCGTCCTCCTGTCATCCTGTACCGGTTAAGTAAGAAGTGTGTAGAAACAGAAGTATTTACCATTGGCGTCATGCTCAGCCTTGTGACCAGCGTTGCCAGGTTGCCAGATTTATCTGGCATAGCCAGAGAAATTTAAGCTCTGCCAGACAGATTTTTTGAGAAATCTGGCAGCTTCCTATGTTAATTTGCTGTGCCAGATTTTAGCCAGACATTTTTTTCGGGTTTTGCCAGATTTTTTCAAAATAAGCCTGGCATCTCTGCTTGTGACAGAGCCTATACCAACACCAGAGTATGACAGTAGGCAGCATGTTCCAGGCCCAGCCATGTTGCCTACGCGATAATGACATCCTGTCATAGGGTTGGTCATGCCACTACCTAGCAGAACCAACGGAACCTCAATTTCCTAACTTGCAATGTGAGCGGGGCCCATTGGGAGTTGGTTGTTTACAAAGTACTACAACATGCGACCAACGTTGTCGTCCTTTCGCCCGTGTCCACCAACCGACGATGACGGGGAACGGAAAATGTAATGCGATCAATTGATTGATGTGATTTTGTCACGTTAAGTGTCGGTTTTCTGGGGCAGCAACCAGCTAAGACGAAGAGGTTTTATTGATACCTTTCTCACGACACATTGGGTTCTGGCAAAGTTATTATTTACCATTTGCACATTGTGATAGCAAATCGGGAGAAAGGCGGATGCCTTCCATCACGGTAATATCCCGCGTCCTATTCGTTCGGTTTTATTTGCTTATGAGATGTTCGTCTTCTGTACTTTTTCTACCGTGGACCCCCGTTAATCTGAACGACGCTTCGTGCAAATTGAGGGGGTTCATTTTTAATTTGAACTTACAACGGGTGTTCAATAAAAAATGAAAACTTTTTCAGTCATATAGCTATAAAAAAA